GCGGCTGGTAGTTTCGAACCGCTGACCTTAAGGTTCGCAGCCCGATTCGTAACCACTACGCTACCAGAGCTCCTTTAGCATGGGCTAAAGTTGTTAGTCTTTTCCTGCTGTAGGAACTGAGGGACCTTCCCACTCTCTACCACAAACTTGTTTTATACAAATTCTACCTCTATACCTTTTGCTCAACGTATTCCTTCCAAAACGTCAACCTTTCAACACATCCGTGTTATTGCTAGTTGTCACTGATTCTGACTTAAGAAGACCCCCAGTGTGTCAAAGTAGAACTTCATGTCACAGAGTTTTCATGGATGAATTTTCAGAAATCCATATAGATCACCAGGCTGGTCGTTCTTCTAAGGCACCCGTCTTTCTGCTAGTAGTTGAGTAATTGTTTATGCTACCCGGGGACTCCTAGCACATCTATAGCTCCCAGATAATTTTTTGCCTCCTTACTTTTTCTAGTAGCCCTATATGTGTATGGGAAGTCCTCCTGAGTGTTTAGCTTTCCTCCATCTAGCTGTAGCTGTAGTTCCAGCAAGTGTACATGCCCGTGGATAGTCTCTCCCCTCCCCCCACCCCCAGCAGTCTAGGAAACCAGGTCAGAAGTGTCCGGAGAAAAGAGACATTGATGTTTGGTGGCTGCATTTTAAGCTCTTTTTATTGGAGGGTTGGAACATGGCGACAGTGTAGAACCTTGGAGGGAGGGGAGTGGCCCAGTGCCAGCCTGCCCCAGACTCCGGGGTCAAGTGCAAAATACAAAAATAGAATCACAAATACAGCATAGGGGGATTTGGGGAGTCCATACATTGTGGTCACAGCCTCACACTCGCACCCAGATTCCTCAAGGTTATAGATGGCCAAATTGATGATGCCTCAGGCTTACTCACAAAAATAAAATTTCATGTCCCCAAAAGGCCCAGAGTCAGAAGACAACTGGAGGGTCAGGGACAGTCTGAAAGGATACAGGCAGAAATGGCCTGTGAAAAACAGGCAAAGGTAAAGGGAGAGAGACACAATGAAGATCGTCACGCTGTTAGAAACAATTAGAGTTGCCGAGACCATCCGAGCAGTGGAGTACATGGTTGATTGCTCCACAACTAGCCAAAAGGTTAACAGTTCAAGCCCACTCAGAGGCTCCTTGGAAGAAATGTCTGGCACTCTACTCCCAGAAGGTCACAGCCTCAAAAGCCCTATGAAGCAGTTCTGTTCCTCACACATGGAGTTGCCGTGAGTTGGAATCAACTCGTTGGCAACCAACAGCAACAGAGATAGCCAGAGAACATTCAGGACAGCCAGAGAGGCAGGCGGATTCAAAGTTTCAGTATTTCCAATTTGACTACACACTTATACGGGCAGAAGTGCTCACACATTCGCACGCACGTGCAGGTACACACACATACACACACCCCCATATATAATATATTTATTTATACACAATAGATATAAGTGCCTTTCGGAAACCAGGAAAGGGATAAATAGCTCTGGGAGGGGGTCTTGGGTTGGGGCAGGGGATGCGGAAGGGAGCACGTGGAATGTTTTCCATGCAGCACAGAGAGGTGGCATGCCCACCTCTGATATTAAAAAATAGAAATTTGTCTCATGATCAAATTCTCATGAGGTAAAGCATATGGGGAGGTGGGGTGGGAGAGCCAAAAACCATGATTTGGGGACTAAGGGAGTTGGGAGAGGGGAAGCTGGGATGGTGGGAGGCCAGTCCTTTTTGAGTTTGCCAGTCCAAAGAGATTGGAGGTTTGGGGAGGGGGGCCAAAGCCTCAGCCCTTAAATCTTCTCCAGAACAGTATCAAACTTCCTTGGCAACCCCCCCTTTCTAGAGGGGATGTGGGGGTGCGAAGGGGAGGGAGAAGCTGGCGTCCTAGGCTGGGGAAGGCAAAGGAGAGATGCCTTAAAGAAAAAGGCCAGGCTTGGGGCTGGGGGTGCTGAGGAGAGGCCATATGGGTAATTATAATTGTGGCCTTCTCTCAATTCTATTACCCCCTGTCAACTGATATGGGGGAAGGAGGCAAATGGGGGGCTGGGAGACCCAGAATCAGTTTTGGGAAGAAGGAGGCCCCGGTCCCTCTGGAAGGACCCTGTCCCACCCCTGGCTCCGTCCCACAAGCTGGCCAACTCAGTTCACAGTATAAAACACTCCAGCAGGGCAGTCGTCACAGCGACCCCTGCTGCCTGAAATCAGATAGGCCCAACAAGGAAGGCCAGGATGGGAGGCTGGAAGGTTGAGGGGCCGGTGGGGCTTGGAATAATACTGTAATCAGAAAGGAGGGATAGAGGATTGAATTTTGGGGGCTCCTTAGGAGTTGAGAAATTTAGATCTGAGCTAGTTTTCAGGGGTTGTGGGGGGGGGGCGGCTGGACAATCCATGAGGGCCATTCACATTCCAGAATAAATCTGGGGGTTGGGAATTATTAGAGGCAGCATCAACGTCCCTGGGAGGAGGGGGGCTCAATTCTGCCGCGCAGTACAAAGGAGGATCTAACCACGTGGAAATGGTTGATAAATAAGCTAGGGTCGGGAGTGAGGATGCCCGCATAGTCACCCCCATGAAGGGGGAGGTTGACTGAGAGAAAGATGGCTGGGTTGGGGTGGCAGTTCCTTGTTAGACCTTTCTGGAGGTGACTCCAGTCCACCACACCTCCCACCACGGTACCCCTTCCCCTCCAGCCCCATACACTGCCCAATGGAGACACCTTCCTTCCGCCCACCCATTCCCAGAGGTTGGGTTGAGGTGAGAGGCCATCAGTCGGCCCAGGATGTCTGTCCCCTCCCCACTCCCTGCCCCCAAAGTCACCAGCTCTCTGGTCTTGCCGGACACGGAAACAAGAGGCTAGGGCACAAAACACAAGGAAGTCCTGTCCTGTCCGGTGGCAGTGGCGGCAAAGGGTCAGACAGAAGAGGCTGGGAGGCCACACACCCACTTGTCTCTTGCCCTGTCCTCCTCCTCCTCTTCTGTTTCTCTCTCCCTGTGTTTTTGTTTTGTGTGTCTAAAGAGTTCACAGAGCAAGAAGAGAGGGCGAGTTCAGGGGGTCGGAGGGCTGGTCACTGCCGCTGGTGCGTTGGGTGCCGGCAAACGCTGAGACTTCCGGGCAGGTGAGGACAAACGAGGAAGTGTACGAAGGGTTAACAACGGGGAAAGGGTCGCCGAGGACTTGAACTTCACTGTGTGTAAAGAGAGAAGTTGTCAGGTTGGGAGCTGCGTCTTGGCTGGTCTGGAAGGGCAGGGGCGGTGGTAGCGGGGGCGGCAGCAGCCAGCCGAAACCATCTTCCTTAGCGGATGCGGACCCCGGCAAATCTCTCACCTCCGCCATCGGACCAGGCCCGGGCCCCTCATCGAAGGGGATCTTGCAGCCCGGTTTGTGGGCCACCAGCACAAACTCCAGACGCTCCTTCTCCTTTTGAAGCTCGGCGATCTCGGACTCCAGTTCGGCCTTTTCTTCCTCCAGCTGATCTGTCTCCTGAGATTCCCCCCAGGCCAAATCCAGGAAGAGAGGAAGGAAGGAGAAAAAGGCAGTCAGCAACTAGAGAAGGCGGCCATGCCTGGAATCTTCTCCTCTAGACTTGACTGGAGCCCAGACAGAGGAAAGACCCTTCCTAGATACTATAGTAATATAGGGTTTGGGGCAAGCATTTTGCCTGCTGAGCCTCAGTTTTCTCATCCATCAAGTGGGTGGTTAGGAAGGGGCCTGGTGAACATGGAAGTTTCTTGTGAATAGGAGGTACTCAGAGGGTTGATCAATGAATAAATGATTGTATGTGTGTTTAATGCTACCTGTTTCTATTCCCTCATCCTCCTGGGGGATCCACCAAGGAGAGGGGGCCGGTGGAGGATTTTCCTTTTTTCCTTAGAGGTACACTAAAGGGAGAGGCTTCAAAACGTTCATGGAAAAATGGAGTTGAAAAACAATGGCTGTTTTTCACCAACGTTTAGAAGCTCCCTCATAAATACTCTCACACTGAGGTAGGGCATAAAAAAGGAGCAGGCCTAAGGAGTAAACACCCTGGGGGCAGAAGGTTTGAGCCCTAAGGGTAGCTACAGCCAAAAGGTAGGAAGACACAGGGGAACAAAGTCTTTGAAAGAATGCTAAAGAGAGTAAAGGAATCTGGGGTGAGGAGGGGGTTGAAGACATGGAGAAACGGAGGCAAAAAGGGGGCAGTGTCCAAGACTACATGGAGTGAGGGTCTACTAAGGGTCCTTCCCCTCAGATGAAGTAAAGGCCAGGAGAATGGCGTGGAAGGGGGCAGGGCAGAGTAGGTCCAGGCAGGGTGTGGTCAGGAGCCTCAGTAAGTATGTGAGAGTCTGCTAAATCATGGGATGGCCCTATCTAGTCCCAACTGCACCTAGATCCACATGCACGACCTCTGGTTCTCAACCTAAAGTAAGGACATGGGAAAGGGACAGAGCCCCCTTCAATATCCATCCCTTCAGCCCACCCCAGGGGCCATCCTCACCGCCTGCAGTCGGTCGGTCAACTCCCGTCGACGGTTCCTACACTTCGCTGCCGCCAGTTTGTTCCTTTCCCGACGAACCCTTCGCTTCTCCTCCTCTTCAGGCGTGAGCTGTGTAGGGGAGAGAAAGGCCATGAGGTCTTGGGTCAGAGTACACCTCCTCCACCCACCTCTCCTTCTAGAACCCCAAAACAGGGTTCTCTAGACCTCATGGGCTGCAGCAAGAATGATAGAATTTTTGAGTGTTGAAAGCTTAGGGATAGATACCCCCACCCCACAGTAAGAAAACTCCTGCCACTCTTGTCTCCTGCACACACACCCCCATGCAGACCAAGTTCTGATGCCCAGGACTCACCGTCTCCTCTGGGGGTCTCCTGGGCCGGGCACGGGTTGGGCGGGCAGGCCTAGATCCGCTGGCGGTCCCGCTGGTTGAAGGCCTACCACTACCACTGGTTCCACCACTGCTGTAGCCACTCATGCCTGGAGTGGAGTAGCTGGTCCCCGGCATGTCATAGGGGTCGACCGCCGGGGGCTGGGAGGCCAGTGGCTGCCCCTGGGACTGGGCCATGGAAGAGATGAGGGTGGGTTGCACAAGCCACTGGAGGTCCTGGCTGGTTGTGATGGCGGTGACCGTGGGCACGAAGGAACCGGGCATTTCCCCGAGACCGGCGCACTCCTACGGGGTGACACATACACACACAGGCGTAGACACACAAACAGAGACACCGACACACACACGCCCAACACACAGACACACACCGACCCCGTGAGTGAGCACAGGGCGAGCGGGTGTGGATGTGTGTGTCACAGGCAAAAACCCACAACACCCACCCTTCCACTACACCGTGACGCAGTGGCTAATGAGAGGATTTCTGCTCAACTGGCTTCTCCCTCCTCCTCCTTCTTCGGGGAAAGGTTGCACGGTTCCAGCGGGTGGTGAATCACACCCTGGGTTGGTGACTCTTAGGTGTGGGGGGTGGGGAGGAGGCTGGACACAGCCGGTGACAGAACCCCCGGGGACGGAGCCATAGCCACAACACCCCACCCCCACCCCTGAGGCAAGGGGAGGGGGGGGCGGAGAGGCCTAAGGCCAAGTCTTTCTCCTCCACACACACATGGACAACCCTCCCCGGTGCAAGAGAATGAGGAGCTGGGAGGGTCCAAAAGACCCTTGTGCAGGGGCGGGGTCCCAGTTCAAAGGATGTGGGGGGGACGGTCTATATAGGAGTTTAGAACTACGTTTCAAGTAACTGCCTCTCCCCAGAGTGAGACCGACATGATAGGTTAGGGAGGATCGACAGGTAGAGAAAAGTGACGGCCAAGACTCTCTCAGACTTCCGTGGAGGGGGACTGTCTCTAGGTCCAGAGTTCCACAACCCCAATCAGCGATCATCTCTCCCCACACCCCAGCAAATGGAATTCTAGACCGACTCAGAAGGCTTAACTACTCTCCCGGGGGGCGTGGTGTGGGAAGGGCTGACACGCCGGCCAATCAGAGTCCTGGGATTGGAGGGGGCGGGGCTTCTCGAGACCACCTTTTCAGTTTCTCTTCAAGTTACTGCTCCTAGTCCTAGCTCCGGACACAGAGAGATGGGGTGTCTGAAGCAGAGGGGATGGGAATGGGAATGGGAGTGTGTCTGCACGTATCTGGAGAAGTAGGTAATGGTTATCATGTCTTCCGAAGAAACTCCTCTACACACAGACACCCCTGAGAGCCAAGGGGATCGAATCCTCGCAAGGTCCTCGCAGACCTATTGGGTCTCAGAAAGTCGCTTCTGTCGCGACAGGAACCTCTTCGTTCTGTCTCTAGAGTCCCTTAAAAGAGACTAGAGCCTAGGAACGATGGGGGTCTAGGGCCAGAGCAAGGGAACAAAACGGCACCCTACAAATAGGAAGGGAAAACTGATTGGTTAATGCCGGAGCTGCGGCAGCCAATCGCAACTCCGGACTGCCCCCTCCCTTAGCAACGTGGCCCCAGCGTTCCAAAATAGAACGCTCCCGGTACGTCAGGGGCGGGGCGGACGAAGGGGGCGCTGCGCGCCGTGCGTGCCCCGCGTCAGACGGAGGGTTCCAGCGCGTCAGCCGTTACGCACGGGTCCCCCGTTACGTCTCCGCGCAGGAGGCGGAGGCAGCGCGGCCGATAGTTCGAGGCCCGCCTTCCCGCTGGTTGGAAGGCGACTGAGTGCTGGGACTAGGCTCTCGGAAGGAGGAGGAAAGAGGAGGAGGCTGCTGGAAGCTTCCCTGGGGTTTCCCCCACCTGCTTAACTGAGCCAGCTTCGGGTTGGGGGCCTGAGCTGGGGACAGCCCCGGAGCCTAAAAGTTCTCAGTCCTAATACTGCATACACGTTGCACCGAGCGGCACGTCCTCGCTCCTCTATTCCAGCTTACAGCGCTTTACTTCCTCCCCGCGCTCCACACACAGAACCAACTGCAAGCCTCTTTCGATTCTTTGCAGTTTGCAAAGCGCTCTGCGATCCGATTCCCTTTCAGATCCTGGTTTTTGGCGCGTTTTTATTTCGGGGGGAGCGCATGTTTCGCTGTACCCTTGATATACAAAATCCACAAAGCAGTATCCCAAACTCTCTAGAACTTACCTGGGAGGCGGCAGCGGTGGGTGGACTGCCGAAGGAGTCCACTGAAGACAGATACTGAGACTCGGCGGAGGGCGAGGAGCTGCACCGGGAGCCGGAGTCGTAGTCTCCGGGGAAAGCCTGAAACATTTCCCTGGGCACAGGGGGGCCCCTGTGACCACGCTGGGGTCGCCGGGAAGCCAAGGCTATAGCCGGGTGGAAGACGGAAGGTGCGAGTCCGAGGTGATCCGAGCGCGTCCCCAAAGTGCGCAGTCCGGGGAGACTCGGTGAGGGGGCAGTGTCCCGCTCCAACAAAAGCAAAGTTCTTTGCAGCCCCTCCGCTGTGCCCAGGCCCCCTCAAGATGCCGCTGTTTCTCCCCAAAGTCCAGGCTCCGGAGGACACAGGGGTGGGGGGGGGCCGCTCCCCCAGCGGCAGAAAGTGTTGTCCCGCTTCACAGAATCCTCTTCGGGTGAGGTCTCGTCCACGCGTCCACCGGATCCCACGAGAAGGGAGAACAATAAAGACGAAAAAGTAATTTGCTTCTCCAAAACCAAACGAAGAATGATCTAGAAGAATCTTGCCAAAAACTTTCTCTCCGGAAAAAAAAATGAACCGGATATCACAGTTCCCAAGAAGAAGAACCACAACAATCAAGTCCCCAGTTCCAATTCCGCGTGTCCCCACCGCGGCCGTGGTTCTCAGTCTTATGAATGAAGCCCAGTACCGCCTGCCTGTATTTATATGCTGGGACCCGCCCCCTTGCTTACGTCACTGCACCGCCCTCAACAAACTTCTCAAAATCTCCTGCCCTGCTGAACGGAATCCCGCGCCGTCCGGCCAGAGGTCTGTCCTAGTGTCAATCTGGTCACCCGAATGGTTCTCGCTGCTTCGGGGGTCTCGGGGGCTGCGTTCCGGGCACACGGCGGGAGGGGATCCCGACCCCGCCTCCTCGGAGTTCCTGTGACGCAATTAGCCATATAAGGAGCTCGGCCGCGCCGGCTGAGTGTTTGTTTGGTATCCTAGCAATGACGTCAGAGGGAATCCCTCGCTCGCGCGCGCACCCCGCGCGCCTGCGGAACCTGCCCGCGCCTGCGCAGTGCCACGCCGCCCTGGGGTCTGGTATTAATAGGCACTTAACCGAGCACGGCTTAGGCCAAGCTGACCCCGGGTGAGTGGGGGCGGAGGGGGGGGGGGAAAGACCTCCAGCTGGTGGGTCTCCCTTACCTCTAGGCACCCCGTTCCTATTCTATCTTCTAGTGCAGTGCCCCTACTTGAGAGGAAGAGCAAGTGTCCACAAACAGACACTAGCTAGCGTTGTGTAGTAACGTAGATGGGGAAACTGAGTCCGAACAGGGTGGGAGGGTCTGTAATGCTCTAGGTGAAAGTGGAGGTAGGGGTTGGAGGACCGAGACTCGTCCCAGAAGTTGCCTTGACTCACATGGTGAGTTTAGGAAATGTTCACTTCTCTGTGCTTTAGTTTTCTCAGCTGGGCAAACAGTTTGTGCTATTAACCCAGTGGAGTCTTCCAGAACCGGGTTTGAGAAGACAAGGGGGTAAAATTTCAGGCGCAATTTACCTGTTGATGATGTTGAGACCTCTCCTTCTCTCTTTATAATCTATTCTCAAGACAGAAAGAATGTGCAGGGAATTAAAAAGAATATAGCTAAACCTGTCAAAGCAGGAACCTGTCTAAGGTAGAAACCTGGAAGAGAAGGAAACTCGAATCCTTTTCACGAATAGGAGCAATCGCAGGAGAAAGATGAGGCTTTTTGTTCTGGTAAAGGTTTACAGCCTCGGAAACCCTATAGAGGGTCGCTATAAATTGGAATCTACCTACTCCACAGCACATAACCCCTACCACCAATAGGAGTCACCGGTAAGTGGTAAGACAAACGGTCCCTTAACAAAGGCGGGAAACTTATGAAACCTGAAAAATGAAGCCAGTCTCGTGGAGTTTGAACTCTTACAGGTTTCATTGTAATAAAATCCCCAAACCCAAGCCCACTGCCATCTACTGTAATGTTTTTAATTGACACTGAGTCTGTAGATTTGAACCACCGATCTTGCAGTTCAAACTGAGCTTGTGGTCCCATGCATTATCTCACTTGGCCTCTGCTTGTTTCTGGGAAACAGCCCAGAAAACCTGGACCTTGGGATGTTTAAATGACAATAGCAGCTTCCTTTGGCCAGGTACTGTAAGTCCCTCCCTACAGATCACTGTATGTGCATTGTAACCTAGGCACAGCGGGGTGAAGTTGCTTACCTAGAGCTACCCAGCTAGGAAATGGAGTTCAAGCATCTGATATTTATGAAACCATACTTCTGAATTCTTAATCACCTCTTGGGGAGGGTACCCCAAGTTGTATCACAGACCCCCTGAGTCTCTGGTATTTCCCTCCAGTCTCTGAGCCAGGCTTAGGCTCCCAAGCACTTTAAAACTTTTGGATCCCAAAGACCCAGAGAGGAAGAGGCTTGGCTCAGTGACACACAGTAGGTCTTAGACAGAGCAGGAGAAATAGGTGGTTCCTGATTTGGGAGAGTCCAGGTCAATGGTGAGGAATTGTGTAGGAGGCTGGAGAGACACAAGGAACAATAAGAGGCTGGTTTCCAGACAAAATCCTTCCCTTTGCTCCACTCCTCCACCTCCCTCTGCCACCATTTGGGAGGGTGGGAGGGATAGGGACTAGAGGATGGATGACACAGTAGAGTAGCCACCAGTGGGCAGTGACTGTGTCCAGCATCAGACAGGGAGTGACCCTGATCCTTCAGTCTCGTCTAAGCCCACTCTGCCATGGGGGACAGTCAGAGAAATCTTAATACCTACCCTGGCTGCCCAAAGGTCTTTGTACCCAGACACAGGCGGCATCTCCACCACCCAACCACTGTCCCACACTCTACAGCTCACAGGTCACATACATGGGCATTCAGACCTCCCCCCACAAAGTGACAACACACTGAGTCACAGGGAGACACAGCTTCACAGATACACATACCTTCACATGGTTACCAGTGCACATTGCACACACACACACACACACACATAAACACACAGAGGGGAGAGAGCCACACATCCACAAACACAGCACGCATATACACACACATGGAAAGATGTTATATACACAAGGAGGCAGCCACACAACCCACATCACACACATAAACACACACATGCAGACAGTCCACACAACCAAATCATTTACCTCTACACCTGCACATAACACACATAGATGAAGAAATATGCAAAATGCACACAACACACTAGGATGAGTTGTCCATACAACCCACAGCACACCCACCCACACGTGTACATAAGAAGCTTAGAGTTCAGGTACACAGACAAAAACAGACCCCAAAATACACAGGGACCTGAGACCTTCAGTGCAGATATGTGGATGGGCATGCACACACACACACACACACACAGATGTGTGAGGTGTTCACATATGACACCTAGACATTTAGGTGTACAGCTTGTACCATCAAGTTGGTTCCGATTCAGCGACCCTGGATAGGGTTCTGAAAGCAGTTAGTAGGTTTCAACCACTGACCTTTGGGGTTCCCTGTCCAGTGCTTATCTGGGGAACATTTATAGACTCCAAAACACACAGAGACCCTGAGACCTTCAGTACAGATGCACATGAACACATACGTTCTCAAACACACACACATTCACAACACCCAGAGGTTGAGAATCACAGATGCACACACACAAACACACACCCATACACCAAGCCAATGACCACACGTTATGTGGAGGCAGCCACATTTACAACACTTCACATAACAGTAAGAAGAATGAATTCTTCTAGAACACTTTATATTAACATTCTTAATTTTCACAACATGGCCTATGAGGTCAGAACTATTTTACAGGCAAGGAAACAAAGACACAGAGAGGACAAATCATTTGCTCAGAGTCACACAGCAAGTAAGTGGCAGAGCTGGCATAAGAATGCAAGGTGTTCGGCTGCAGAACTTGTGATTTTAAGATTCAATGAGTTAATGTACATTGACATATTCACACACAGACGGTCACATAACACGCTGGGCATTCAGACCACATGGGTAGACCCAGATGCCACTCTTGTTTGTTGTTAAGCACTGTAGAGTTGATTCCGACTCATAGCAACCCTGTATGGGGTTTTCAAAGGAGCTCTGATAGCATATTGGTTACGAATAGGGCTGCGAACCGCAAGGTCTGCAGTTCGAAACTACCAGCTGCTCCGCGGGAGAAAGATGAGGCTTTCTGCTCCCGTAAAGATTTACACCCTCGGAAACCTTGTACAGGGTCGCTATGGGTCGAAACCGACTCGACGGCACTTAACAACAACAACAACATGGGGTTTTCAAGTTTGAATTGGTGAGTAAAATTGATGCCTGCAGCTTGGGTTTCTTCATCAGGAAAAGCAGGACAGGAATAACCAGCAGTCATTGGGCTGGTAAGAAATTTACATGAAGTTAATATCAGTAAGTATTACCTGTCCATCAAGGAGCTCTGGTAGCAGTAGTGGTAACAATCGGGCTGCCAACCTCAAAGTCAGCAGTTGGAAACCACCAGCTGTTCTGTGGGAGAAAGATGAGGCTTTCTGCTCCCGTAAAGATTTACAGCCTTGGAAACCCTATGCAGGGTCGCTATGAGTCGGAGCCGACTCCACAGCATATAACCACCACCACCACTACCTGTCCATCAGTTTGTACAGTGATGGCTTGCATGTTTCGCTGATGCCAAAAGCAGTGCCACTGGTATTTCAAAGCCCAGCAGGGTCAACCATGAGGGACAGTTTTCAGTGGAGCTTCCAGACCAAGAAAGAGTAGGAAGAAAAACCTGGAGATTTATTTCTGAAAAGCAGTCAGTGAAAACCTTATAGATTGCAACAGAATATTGTCTGATACGGTGCTGGAAGATGAACTCCAGGTCGGAAGGCAGTTAATGGACCCGAGCACACCAACCACCTTGTCGATGGTGTAAAGTCAGTGAATGCTTTGTCCTGCTGTACATAAAGTCACTCAATGATATTCAACAGCAGTGACATCATTAAAACTCCTGGAACGTTCCTGGTACTTTGTGGGTGTTTGATTTTCATAAAAACAGAGGCATTCTGACTTTTGCACACGTCGGCCCTCCTAGTGATGGCTGTCACGCAGAGGCAAAGACACACCAAATTGCGCTGTAACTTGCATGGGCCCTAGGCACTTTTGCCTTGGAGAGCCCCTCCCACCATAAAACATCTTATTTTATGGTTGCTTCAGTACAATGACTATATTAATATATATGGAAACATTGTCTTTGACTTTTCTTATTTTACTGAAAATTAAA